AAGAGGTGTTCTGGTTTCGGGTGTTTTCCTTCTTTTGTGCTGGTTTCTTCCCATCTTTGTGGATTTGTCCTCCTGTCGTCTGTGTATTTGCTGATTTTCAGATTGGGTCTCTGAGTGGATGTCCAGATTGTTGATGATGAAGTTATTTCTGTTTCTTAGTTTTCCTTCTAACAGTCTGGCCCCTCTGCTGTAGGACTGCTGAGGTCCACTCCAGGCCCTGCTTGCCTGGGGATCACCTGCAGCAGCTGCAGAACAGTAAGGGTTGCTACCAGTTTTTTCTTCTGCTATCTTAGTCCCAGAATGATGCCCGCCAAACATCAGTCTGATCAGTCCTTTGGGAGGTGACTCTTTGGATCTACGGGGTCAGGGAACTGCTTGAGGAGACAGTCTGTACTTAATAGGAGCTCAAGTGCTGAGCTGTGAGCTCTGTTGTTCATTCAGAGCTGCTAGGCAGGTACGTTTAAGTCTGCTGCAGCAGAACTCATAAACCCCCTTTTTTTCACCAGGTGCTGTGTCCCGGGGAGTTAGGGCTTTATTTATGAGTATCCGTTGTGCTGCTGCCTTTTTTTTTTTTTTTTTTTTCCGAGCTGCCCTGCCCAGCAAGGAGGCAGCCTAGTCACTGTCTGCCTGCAGAGGCTTTGCTGAGCTGCTTTGGGCTCCGCCCTGCTTCCCTGTGAATTTCCTTGTAGTCCTGTTTATATGGGTGTGGTTAGAACTGCCTTGGCAATGGCAGGCTGCCTCAGCGATGGTGGACTACCTCCGTAGGGGCCGAGTGGTAATGAGGATGCCCCCCCCCACCAAGCTGTACCGTCCTGGGTTCAGCTGTGCTCTCCATGAAACTTTCAACCCCAAGCATTTCCAATTGCTATTTTTTTGTTTGTTTTTGTCGGGGTGGGACCCGCTGAGCCTGATCACCTGGCTCCCTGCCTCAGAGCCCTTTTTTTTTTTTTTTTTTTTAAGTTGAACAGTTGGCTCTCTCCCAGATATTCCAGTCACCTATTGTAAGGGCACCGGGATCTGTGTGATTTACCATGAGGTGACCCACTGCGCTGGCTAAAACAACGGTGCTGCCCGGGAATCTCCTGGCCTGGCTCCCTGTTTCAGACCCATTTAATCAGATGAATGGGCAAATTTGCCTTCCCGGAGCTCCAATTGCCAGCTTAAGGGCAACCAGACCAGTGTATTTTGTACAGAGAGCTGCTTCGCTTGGGCGCTGGCAAAACAGCCACGCCGGTTGAAACAGCTGTGCTGGCAACCTGTGGGGCTCCTCTGCCTGGGAATATCCTGGTTTGTGGCAATAAAGATCCGTCTAGAAATGCAGCGTCCACTGACCCTCTGCGCTTTCAGTGGGAACTGCAATCCTGAGTTGCTCCTTAAGGGCCATCTTGGATCTATCTCTACAGTCAGACTTAAAGATCATACTGATTTCTATTGATTTTGAGTCTTACTAGTAATAGAAATTAATAGCTAATTATAAAGCATAGCTTTAAATTTTAAGTTCATTTATTAAAAATCCAAATTGTCTATACTTGATTCCTCCTCTTGAAACCCCATTTTAATCAGTTTTCTCTCCCCAGTATTTTGCCAAAACTGCTCTGGGTAAGATCACCAATAACTTCCTGTAGCTATATGTCTAGTTGTCAGTCTTGTTATTAATTAACTGGACTTCTGGTACCATACTCTCCTGGTGGTCCTCCTGCTTCACTGACTGCCCCTGTCATGTCCTTTGCTGTACTTCCCTGGCCTCTTACTGTTGATAGGGTCTCAGACCTTGGTTTTGGACCTCTTTTTTTCCATGCTCGTTCCTTTGGCAATTTTACCTAGTCACTTAGATAAGCTAGATAGCTGCCAAATGAACTCTGTGATGTACATGTTCCAAGGATGAAGGATACAAATCCCATTCTTCCCCCTAGACTTTCCTTTTCCATAGTATTTTTCATCTTATTTGATAGCATTTCTATTCTCCTAGTTGCTTAACTGCTTTTCTCATACCCTACATCTTTGCCTCAGAAAATCCTAGTAGTTCTACTTTCTGAACATACCTAGAATTAGTATTAACTCCACTACTACCACCCTAGTCCCAAAACCAACATCTCTTATCTACATATTTACAGAAGTCTTCTAAACTGATCATCCTGCTGTTGCCCTCTCCTTTTTTCCATTTTTTTTCAATTGGAGCAGCCAGAGTGATCTAGATCAGATTATATTACTCTGCTCAAAACTATTCAGAAGCTTTTCATCTTATCTACAGTATAAGCCCAAGTCCTTAAAGTGGTCTCTCATTGTTTTGTTAATCTTATGAACTCCAGCTTTTCCTTCCTCACTCCCCTTGAGCCACTGGCTCTTTTGCAAGATAGCTACATGACTCACTCACTCATCCTATTCAAATCTTTCTGAACCCCAGCTTTCTCACCTATAAGAAGGGGTTTTTCATTGGTACTTGCCTAATCTGGGTTTTATAAGCTTTAACTTTTGAAGCACTTACCCAACTGACTGGTATTTTTGCTGGTATTTCTTTGCTATAACTTTTGTGCCTCAATATTCTCATCTGTAAGATTAGAGTAATAAATATTACTTACATATGTACTGAGAGGATTAAACAAGTTAATATATGTACAGCACTCAATACAGTGACCAGCACCTAGTAAGCACTATATACATGTTGTGTATTATTATGGATATTATCCAGTTTACATGGCAGTTTCTTTAGAGATTTGAGAAGCTGCATCACAGCTTTTTATACTTAGGGTTTACGTCTGCTTCCAGCAAGAATTTACACATGCAATCTATATTCTTCATAAGAAGTGTGTATGTCAGTTCACTTCTTAACTAACTCATTATCAGTTTGGCAGCATCCTTTTGGGCCAAGGTTGCAAATCTGAGTCAGTGCTCAAGTCTCCCTGAATAGTAGCTCTGCCTCTAGCCTTCCAGAATCCTGGAGTGCCCACTTTCCCACACAATATCTGCACAAGATTTTGATTGTAGATTAAGGAATGATTTATAAATAATAAATAAAAATCTTATGGATCTAAGGAGCAATATAATTGAAGTTTATTTATTGTTATTTTTTTTCCATTCTATTTATTCGTTTCTCTATTGTCCAATCAGATGTCCTTAACGGAGTAAGAGAAATCTTTATTTTTTATACCAGTCTTTCAGTTTTAGTTTCATTACATGTTCTACTGTAGGTGTATCATTCAATTAACTACTCTTTATGTCTGAAAACTTGCGTGTTAGAAGGCAGAGTTGTATGTTTTTGCCAGTTTCATAGTCTCTGAAGAGCTAATAAAGAACAAAACTACAATGACCAGCTAATTCACTCAGTTTTGTTATTCTTCTATATATATGAGTGGAAAATAAATACTAGTTTACATAAGATGTCATCAGAATATAAAATATAAATACTTCCAGTAATTAAAGGATTCTTTTTAAGTAATTCCAAGAGATCACAACTTAGGTGTCAGTGAAAAAAATATCTAGAAAGTTTATATTTCTATCATTACTTAATTATACTTCAGCAATATTTATTACCTCCAGGAAAGTAATTGAATCATTGAAGTTCTACAGCTTAAGAGATATGTCACTTTTCTTCATTGTTTGTTGAACGATTCTTCATTCTAAATATTGAACATTCTGAGCTACTGAACTTATAGTAAACTTTACTCTCTACTTTTCTGTCATTAAGTAGAGGAATTGTTTGATATATTACTTGTTGTTAAGTCTAGACAGATATACTCTACTACTAATTTTTCTTTTATTATAAAATTTATAGTGTGAGTTACTATAAATAGAGGGGTTGTGGGTATTAACCACATGTAAGAGGGTTGTTTATTTTCTGAAGTATAGTTTGTCAGGGGACAGAGTGCTGTACTAGCAGAACATGGGCTTTGTTGATTGTGTGACATTGAAAAACTTGTATTTTCTGAGCTTCAGCCTCTTTATACTTAAAATTAGAGTCACAGTTGCGTGAATTTTAGGCAACAACTAGTTCCTAGTGCCTAGAAAATACTAGTCCCTGTCTCCTCACTACTACTTTCTATTTCTTTACATCTCACCAAGTGGAATGGGTAGCAAATGAAATTCAAAGTAGTTACCATCATTAGCTATAGAATCCCAAAATCTTAGCCATTCTCCACTATTGATAAGAAATCTTTAGCACTAGAGCAGTGACTTAGCTGCTCATTTTGTATTTTGAAACATAGTAAAGCTTAAGCTGCTTCTGCCAGTTGTAAAAATATAACATCAAAATATGTTTTCATTTCTTCATAATTTTTCTTTATATTTAATAATAAAATGAGTATATTAATCCATTCATGCACTGCTGTAAAGAAATACTCAGGGCTAGGTGATTTATAAGGAAAAGAGGTTTAATTATCTGATGGTTCAGTAGGCTGTACAGGAAGCATGGCAGCATCTGCTTTTGGGGAGGCCTCAGGGAAATTTACTCATGGCAGAAGTCAAAGCAAGAGCAAGCATCTTATATGGCAGGCGAGGACTGAGAGAGAGTGGGGAGATGTCACACTTTTAAACAACCAGATTTCAGGATAACTCACTGTCACGAAACCAGCACCAAGGAGGAAATCTGTCCTCGTAATCCAATCACCTCCCACCAGGCTCTACCTCCAACATTAGGAATTACAATTGAATATGATATTTAGGTGGGAATACAGACTCAAACCCTATCAGTGAGTATCTTACATTTTATTATTTTAATAATTTGGACACATTTATTGAGCTTTATTATTTATAAAAATATTTATAAGAATAAAATATAACATCTTTAAGATATGTAAAGAAACAACAAAAACTATTTTATTTTACCAATCAAGAATATGAACTGCTGACATAATAAAAATAATGTATATGTTAAGAGTTTGATTAGGTCCAAAAATGAGAAAATGCTGCCAAGACAATTCACTGGGAATCTCTATGGACAGTCTCTTTAATATTTTTGAACGTTAGCAGTGTAATTTTCTTACGCTATTTTTCGTCCTACACAGGAGTGCCCGACAAGGAGCTGAATCCTAAGAAGAAGATTTGGGAGCAGATCCAGCCTGATCTTCACACTAATGATGAGTGTGTGGCTACATACAAAGGAGTTCCCTTTGAGGTGAAAGGGAAGGGAGTGTGTAGGGCTCAAACCATGAGCAACAGTGGTATCAAATAAAATGCCTCCACTACCGAAAGACATTGGAGAAAACCTTAATAGTAATAAAGAGAAATATATTTGTCACTTGTACCTGAAATGTGAGTGGCTCATTTTTGTGTTAGTCTCTCCTAGACTTGACTATTCTTTTACTTGGTATATATTGTTTTCATTGACTGGGGAAACACTACATTTTTACCTTTTTTTTTAATCATTTATAAAGGAGAGAGGAAGTTGCCTATGTTTTGTAATTATTTTTTAGCAAGAATATTGATTAGCAGCTATTTTCTTCTTTATACATGTAGATAACTAGATTAATATTTACTTTCTTATTTATGGGTACAGGATGCATGAAATTTCAAGCTCTGAAATTTTTCTTATATATCTTATTAACTGATCATATTATAATAGTATTGAAAATGACCAGCTGCTCATTCTGAAAGCCAAACATAAAACCTAGATGTGGCATATGAACATTTTTGCTTTGCTGCTAGAGTAATTCTGATTAATAATATGTAAAGCAATTTTTTTAAAAAACTGAACTTTTCTACTATCTTGAAGTTTTTCTATTTAGCAAAATTATTAGTAATAAGTTTTGACTAGCTCTAAAGGATAAACACATTGAAAACAGTTGCCACAGTAGTTTCTAATAAATTGATCTTAAAAGCAGCAGTCTTTTTTTTTTTTATTTTAGCTGCTTTATACAGATTCTTTGGGTACCTAATAAAGGATAATTTATAGCTTATTATCTTTTGAAGAGCATTACAGACTAATATTTTGCTTTTTCGTGTATCATTATACTGTCAGTATATTAAAAGAAATTACAGCCTAAAACTTAACATATACCATATGTTAAGGTATCAAATAGCTATTCTCACTCATTTTACAAATATTGTAAGAACAATAAAAATTTAATTGAGGAATTATGAGCCTCCAGATCATCAGCCTTGAGATGATTACTGATGATTTGGACTTACACACACATGTCAGCAAGATAGAGAGTTGTGGATAGGGGAGGACTGGTGGCTAACAAGGGCCCTCACAAAGCAATATTAGTGACTTTAACCAAGTTTCAGAGTCTGGGCCTTAGCTTTACAGGTTCAAAAAAAGAAGGGCATCAGTGGAGGCAGAAGTATAGACATTGTTTTAAAAATACACACATGCACACGCAAACAAAACATTTTAGCATTATAGCTGTCCGAATTCTTCAATAAGAAGGAGAGGCGCACACACACACATACACACTTTCACACAAAACTCAACAACTATAAAACAACCCTGCATGTTATAAAAGGCAGAATTACATTTAATTTAAATCCATGGAGCTCTGGTAAGCCAGGATATATTATAGTACCATTATCAATGTTTTGAAAATATGAACAGAGCATCATTAACATCTGTTGGTACCTAAACACAAAATGAATTTCAAAAGTTACTTTGTTCTCAAGATGCGTCATTCTTTTAGGAATAAATACTTTTGGTGACACAATCTTTTGTGAGTTTTTTGCTCTAATTTTTCTCAATTGTATTAAATTTCTTTAATATAATTTAAATAATATTTCAATTACCTACATAGTAATTTCCCCACTAAATGTTGAAATACTCTAGCCCAGATCATATTATCTAAAGCTTTGTCAGGAAAACTAAATTGATGATTAAATCATATATCCAACCTAGAAATAATAAAAAACCATTGGTCTTTTGTTAAAGCCTATGCTATAACACCATCAGTAGCTAATTTATGCTGAAATTTATGATGACTTACTACGAAAGAATACATTGCAAAAATGTCACATTTCTCTTTCTCAAGTACTATATTATGCCTTACCAAATTATACCAAAAGTCCATGTTTCTCTCCATAATTCCCCCAGGTCTTTACCACATAAAGAGAGAAAGAAGTGGAGAGTTAACGAGTGGTTTTTCCAGTTGTATAAAAGCATTAACAAAGTTATTAATTCAGCCCTATTCAGTACTTGTTTTCCCTGAAAACTTAATTCTGTTTTCTTTGTATTGCTGGGATGGGAGAACTCTTATGGAATCAACAAAGAAATAGCATTGTTGGCAAACTGAACATAACACTTCGGCATCTGATGTATTCGGGCTTTTAACCATTTCAATGGTAAGGGGTAGTATTTGGTGGGAGAATCACTTTGAGCCCAAGAGTGGAGAGCAAGGTGCAGTGTGCTGTGCCTGTACCACTGCACTCCAATCTAGGCTACAGAGTTGAGACCCTGTCAAAAAAAAAAAAAAATAACTTAGTTGAGGAGCACCTTGCTATATCTTGTAACTGGGCATTAAAATGGCCTGAGTATACCTTCTCAACTTTTCAGAGAAATGATACATCCTTTTAAAATATAAAAGTATCAGAAGTATATAACATTAGCCATGTGTTTCATCTACATAAATAGTGACATAAGTCCTGATTGTAAGTGCTGTCCAACAGTATGAAAATTACAACTTTATCACCAAGATGCAAAGTAAAAACCAGGAAGGGCAAATTAGTATGCTCAACAGACAGTTGCAAATTGCTGTCTTGTGAAGAAAAGCTCTACCCTCCAAAATTTTAGTTAAAGAACAATCGTGCCTTCTCTAACAAATGTAAGGGGGATATATTAATAATACATGTCTATTGTCATGGATTTTATTACAGAATTATTATTAACATAGTTACTGCCTTATAACTAGTATTTTCATGTGTTTTATCCACCTCTTAACTCCTTATAAGGTAGATCAGTCAATTTACCCCAAAGACTCAACAGAGAAAAATAAATGTCCATACACAGTTGAAATCTGGTTTAATTTTTTTCAGTTCTTGCTGATTTTCTGTTCTCCATTACGTTATACTTTCTTAACATGTTTGTTAAATGGTCATGTGGTTTATTTTATTTGAATGAAAAGTTTAGCTTTAGGGTAAACACTAGAGAAAAATAGTGACATAAAAATACCTAAATTTGAGTAGTTTATGTAAGATTAGGTTAGCTCCCTTAGTGGAGTATTTAAGAGATTCTAAAGGGAGTGATGAGATTATTAAACACTTTGTTGGAGTTATTCTGAAGAATTTTTTTTTCTTCCTTTTTGCTATTCAAGCTTAGAGGAAGAATTACCTTGGCAAAACCAAGCTGCTGCTGCTGCTAGCAGTTGCCATTTTAAAAAGCCATATGCCATGATTCTTTGAATAGTGCACTGTTATTAGAGGGTACTGATGTGTCATGACAGTCCATTCCAAAAGCCAACATATGATAGAAATCACTAAGTTCCATATAGATAGATAATTTAAAACAGGAACATAGGTATACTATGGTACTACTTATATGATAACCCGATTGTGGTACAACTTATAACCCCCAAATTTGCAATAATAATGAAAAGAAAAGGGTAGTTGCTGATGGTTAATATGCCTCTGTACAAAACTGAATCATCTTTGGGTACCAACTTGTTGGAATGAGAAAGAGTGACACATTCTTGTGCATCGCATTTTGTATAGTTATGGTTTTTCCTTTGAATAAATCTTGGCAGAGATAACTCATAGGAGTATAACCCCAAAAAAATATTTGGAGGAAGGACCCAGAACAATGAATTAATTGTTGGTTTGAAAGTGAGCCATCTGGAATTTCAGAGTGTGAACTAATTATTGTATATTGTATTTTGTCACCCTTATGTATTTGGTTTTTTTTCCTTCCTAACTTCCACCTATCCTAACACACACTATTCCCAATTCTCTAGATGTTTAAGTACAAAAATGTGTGTAAGTGTGATTTTATGTCTTCATCAACATCATTTCCTATCTGGCAGACTGTTGGCCTTAGCAACAGGAGCAGAAACAAGCCTGAGACCCAATAATTGCAAGAAAGAAAAATCCTTTTTAATGAAGCATTAACTACTCTTGCCTTTCCCATTGCTACATAATGCCTACAGAATTGTTCAAATAGCCATTGTTAATGTTATTATTTCCTCAATGGCATTCATATGATGAGCCTTCATATTGAAGCTGCTCTGACAAAGTTTTACATTTGTTTTTGTAAATTCCCTCATTAGAATATCGTGCATCCCAGCAGAGAATCGCACTCAATATATGCATGCACTTTAGTTTTCAGATTGCATGTTTGGCTGATACTTGTTCATTAAAAACCCCTCAAATTTTCACACCTGGGGAGTTTGGAAAGAACAGTCCAAGAGTCATCCAAAATCAACACCACAACTATATTTCTTTTTGAAAAAGATTAATGAAAAATGCAAGCTAAAAGTTACTTTCAGTAAGTTTAGCAAAAGGGAATGATTTCAGTAGAAATAACTTTTTTCTAAAACTTTCAGTTTTCCTGTGAAAGGATAACACTTTTGTCTTAACATAGCACCTACATTGAAAATAAAAACTTTTCAGATACTTATGAAAACAGACTTGTTTTGAAAAGAAAAGTTTGAGTGAGTATCTGGGAAATAGCAATGCCATGTAAAAACATTAGCTTTATGTAAGAGAAGTACAGTATATCTGAAAATCAGTAGAACAGAAAAATCTAAGAAAAATTTTAATGAAAAAAGTATAAATAAGCATAGCTTTAAAAAAGAAAGTCTTTGAAAATGCTAATTGAGGTAATGTATCTAGAACAACCCTGGCCAGAGTCAGAGCTTATTAAATTTCAGGGCTAATCACTAATGACCCCAGATTGTATGCACTAATGAGATTCTGACACTAGCTGTGCAAAAATATCAGGTACACTATGTTTCAATGCTCTAAAATATTCAAAGCACTTTCAAATTAAACTTTAGTAGAGATTTTTGGTGTGTGGATGAGAATAGCATACAGATTAGGCATCTGGAGGGACATGAGGAAAGATTGCAAACATGGCAGGGCACCAAAGATGAACTTGGTGGACATTATTTATTTTACTTAAACGTAATCCTAGTCTTATGGTTCTTTATATGTGTAGGGGCAGAAAGGTGTGATACCTTTCATTACCCCTCTTAAGAGTCAAGGCTGACACTCCTGTAACAAAAGACAAGAGAAATGCATAACAAATGTATTTAATCAACGTTTTACATGATACTCAGAAATGAAGACCAAAAGACTCAGAAATAACTGTTTATTTTATGCCTAGGATTGCTGAAGAATGGACAGCCACATAGAAATGTAATTGAATAGGGCCAGGCACGATGGCTCACACCTGTAATCCCAGCACTTTAAGAGGCCAAGGCGGGTGGATCACGAGGTTAAGAGATCAAGACCATCCTGGTCAACATGGTGAAACCCTGTCTCTACTAAAAATACAAAAAATTAGCTGGGCATGGTGGCGCGTGCCTGTAATCCCAGCTACTCAGGAGGCTGAGGCAGGAGAATTGCCTGAACCCAGGAGGCGGAGGTTGCAGTGAGCCAAGATCGCGCCATTGTACTCCAGCCTGGGTAACAAGAGCAAAACTCTGTCTGGAAAAAAAATAAATAAAGAAATGTAATTGAATAAAAGAGAAAGTGTTAACTGTAATAGACTGATGGGAAACCCAGCAAGACCATCCAGATTCTTGGCCTCTGTAGCATGCCTTCCCCCTAAGTATAGGGCAGGACCCATCTGGAATGAAGTTCATGGAGGGAGAAGGGAGAGAGTGAACATTTAAGTTTCATAGCTTGTTTTCAGGATGAGGGATTCTGATTTCTGTGACTTTCTTCAAGGGAAAAAAGGGGTGGAAGATGGGAGAGATACGAGGGCAGAAGGACAGAACGAACTTGCTTCTGAAGATGGTCCAGTCTCCTTCAGTTCAAAGTACTCAGCATGCCAAGGTGTCATATTTGGAATATGGTGTTTTGATCCCCCAATAGTTGCAAGTTGTAATTTTCTCCAGAACAGATGAGTTTATTTAATGATATTCATTGAATATGAATGAATGATCACATGCACAGTCATCTAGAAAAAGCTAAACGAATGAGCCTCAAATGGAGAACAGCAGCAAGATATTCAGGTCAGTGTCTTAACATTCATATGATTCAACAACCCCATTATCAACTAACAAAATATTTCCCTACACCCACTATGCTGATTCTTATGAAGAGTTAGGATTGCTATTGCATAATGATATGTGGAATAGTATGTCTAGAATTTAATGCCTCATGGATATTACACTAGAATTCAGAGTATATTGGGAAAGCATACTAACCAGAAAGATGAGAGAAGATGAAGAGGAAAGAAAACAGTGGTAAGAAATGGACCTGCAACTGTTTATGTATTGAATTAAAAGAGATAATGAATGATAAACTACCAGGGGATATGCAATGTAAGTTACAAGAAAGGGCTCTTGAAACAACAGGGGCCACCTGCAAGGAGGAGTCTTGAATTAAATAATTAACTATCTGAGCACAGTCTAATAATATGGGGAAAGAAAAAGCATTCCAAAGTCCACTTCTCTGCAGAGGATGAGAGAAAGAGAACTAGGGAGGAAATGGAAGTATTATAAGAATCTTATTTTTATAGTGGGAAATTCTTGGTTAGGGAAATAGTTCGTACTGGGTCATCAGGCAATAGTAGAGAAATATGTACATGATTGTGAATTCAAGGACAAGAAAATAATCCTTAATGAGTGTGAATTAGAATAGAACTTCCAAATTATCAAAGGGAAATACTGAATTAACAGCAACGTTATCAAGGTAGCAAAACTAAGGAAAAGAAAAAAATACAATAAGTACACTAATATATAATAAATAATAAACATAATGTAAGATGAAGAAATATTCTGTGTGTTTATAAAGGAAGATTTCATATCACGGATGTCATTTGCCATAAACACACACACATACCCCAGAATAATTTTTTTTAATTAGAAAAAATCTAAGAACATATATGAATGCCTGAGTGTAACAAGAAAATATTTTGAAAAAAGAAAACAAATTTGACCTCACAGATATCAAGGAATGATACAAAATTATTATAATGAAATCACTCTGGTATTGAGAACAATATAAATAAAATAGATGATGGAGTAGAATGAAGAATCCAGAATAGATCCAGAAATTGATCCAGGATATACGTTTCAATCTCTTTAGCTACCTACCTACCATTTAAGTAGTAAAAGGAATAATTAATAAATAGAATAAATACAACTGGTTACTCATCTGACAGAAAATAAACTAAAACCCCAGCTATATCATGCACACAGAAATATATGACTATAAAAATATTCACAAATTTAGTTTGGCAAAACTTACCATACAAAGTTAAAGGAAAAATAATAGATTTGGAAAAACAATTGTTACCCAGAGGACCCACAGAGGGTTAATATCTATAACACACATAGAACTCTTCCAATTTGCCAAGCAAAAAGTAATCTAATGAAGAAAAATGACAAAAGAACAAAGAATGTGAAGAGTCAATTCGCATAAAACACTAAATCTAAATTATCAAAATGCTCACATAAAAATGTTCCAATTGCATAAAAACATTCCATTTGGGAAACACAAATTAAGGTAACAGTGGGCTGTGGTTTTACATTTATTCAACTGCTGTTAACAATAGGTGTTCAAGATGATAACACCTACAGATGGAGGGAAAAAGCAAAGAGTACTCATGTTGTTGGAAATCAAGTTTATCACAACATTTTTGCAAAGAATCTGTTAAGATGTATTAAATGTATATATGGTTTGACCCAGAAATCTCACTTTTGGGAATATAATTTACAGAAAAATAGTCACTATTAACAAAAATAAATTTGCTTTGGGTGACAGGAAACTGGAATACTCATCAATAGAGGAGCATTTGCATAAATTGTTACATAAACACTGTGAAATGTTTTGCAGCCTTCAAAAAGTATGAATTTGGGCTATATTTTAGATTTGAAAAAATTTAAATGAGGTAGTTTTGAGATAGCCAAGTAAAAAGGGCTCCGGGAGTATCTCTGACTGGCCTGGGCACTGGTGAAGGAGGTGGAGCCTTGGGAAGTTCCTGTTTGCAGCGGGGAGGAGCCTGGCTTCTCCTGTTCCTGGGTGGTAACCTGGAATTCAAGTGGTGAGATGGGGGCCTGTTAACAGGAAACCCTCTCACTTCGCTGAGTTTTTGTTTTTCCTTTTGCACTCAATACATTCTGTTTTTCTCACCATTCTATGTGTCCATGAGCCTGATCTTTCTTGGTCGTTTGACAAGAACCCAGTTTTTAGCTGAAATGAGGAGACAGTCCTACAACAGTGTTAAAGTGAAACAAAAATATATTATGAAGAGTACAATATGAAACCTTTTTAAAGTTGTAAAGACCTATATATTTGTATGTGTTTATACATGCTGTTTGGGGATGATTATCCAGACATGAAGAAAAACAGAAACAGTGGACACCAGGCTTTTGGTTGGCATCAGTTATCTGTAATGAACAGATTTGCATGAAGAAGAGGAGAGATGTAAAGGCAAAGCAAAAAAAAAATACGTAAGACTAACGTATGTTACCACATTTAAGCATTTATGTGAAAATGGATGTGAGTGTATATACACACATATGCATTCACAGTAGGAACCCCTTATCCAGAGGGGATATGCTCCAAGGCCCTAATGGATGCCGGAAGGCAAACAAAGTACTGAGCCCTTAAACATACTGTTTTCCTATATGTACATTCCCGTGATAAAGTTTACTTTGTAAATTAGACACAGCAGGAGATTGACAACAATAACAATAAACTAGAACAATTATAACAATCTACTGTAATAAAAGTTATGTGAATGTGGTCTCTGTCTCAAGATACCTTATTGTATGCATTATTTTCAGATTGCAATTGACCACAGTTACCTGAAACCACAGAAAGTGAAATCACAGATAAGGGGGAAGTTATTGTATATGCAAAAATAATAATAACTGTTAAATAATTCAGGGAAGAACATCACAGAAATCCCCTTTGACTAAAGGCCCCTCTCTATTATAATCATCAACATCAGGCCAGCCTCATAGAGCTTCAATCCTTGATGTTCTGCACAATGTATATTTCCTGAAACAAACTAGCATTTGTGTTCTAGAAAAGTTAACTGACAACACATAAATGAAGGACATGAAGAACTTAACACCTGAATCCTCCTTTTCCATTCTGCTTTTCTCCACCAGTCACTGTGGTTTCAACTTCTGAACATCAAGTCTCTTTCTCTGTCCCAAGCCCCACCAACCCATGGAGTAGTGTCAGTTCTCACTTCAGTTTCAAACTCTGCTCCATTGTTGAGTCTCCCACTTCTCAGTCCAGAGCCCACAACATAGGATAAAGAGGTCATGCAAAGAAATAAAGTAAGATGTTGTTTTAAGTTGGGATCTGTATTATGCTTTCCGATAGAAACATTTTATAAATCTAGCGCAAATTCAAACGTGTACAGGAGTTCACACAATATTGTGCATTAAAGTAAGTTTTCGAAGACTAATTTGGGAGAATGACCAACAGCTGTAATCCTGTTTCTAATGGAAAATCCAAATCCAGCATATTGTACACCAAAAAAAAAAAACCCTGTATAAATTAGCTTATAAGAACAAGCTGTTTACAAATTGGAAACGGTCTTTATGAAAGAATTTTATAAATTATGAAGTTCATATACAAATATTTATGAAAGTGATCTGATTTTGACTTGCTAGTGGACTTTGCTCTTATGACTGATTAGAATTATTTTCCTTCAATTTTCACTGCTACCATTGAGGCCATCCTGAAGCTCTCCACTAAACCAAAGTGGCCAAACTTCAAAGGTAGAAGGTCTTTAGTCAAGGCTTTATTCATAGTGAATTATCACAATTGTTATACTCATTTTTATTAAAGAGTTTGCTCTCAGTTGTTACCAAATGTTTCCAAACTGAAATGGAAACCACAGGTTACAAGGAAGTAGAAAAGAAAATTAACATGTTTTAAGCAACTACCATGTGCCAGGAAGTTTAATCATTACAATAATTATGAGTAGGTATTCCAAAGAAGGAAACAGACTCTGGTAAGTTTAAACAATTTTTCTCTTTTGGCATTAAGTAAGCAGTGGAGCTAGTTCCCTTTTAATGGATAACAACTAATTATTTTTAACTTTTATTTAAATATAGCATATTTAAGTAGTTTCTAAATCACAAGTGTTTGTTGTTGCATTTTCACAAAGTGAACACATCCTGTGAAACTGGGCTCCAAATAAAGAGAACAGAACATGACCAGAATCTCAGAAGTCACACCAGGTGTAAACTTTCACTCACAATCTCCTCCCCAAAGTTAACTACTCTCCTGATTTCCAGCACTCCTACCATCAGAGCAGTTTAGATTGCATTTGTTTTACTGTTTGTGAGCTTTCTACACCTGGAATCACAGAGTATGTACTCTTTTATGTCTGGCTTATTTTTCAACATTATGCTTGGTAAATTAATTGGTATTGTTGAGCTTGCTTATTCTAATTACTTATTCTAATATCCTACTGTGGTAACTACCTCAATTTACTTACCCATTCTACTATTAACAGACGTTTGAATAGTCCATACATTTAGTTTTCGAATAGTAGTTCCATGAACATTATTGTACATACATGTCTTCTAGTACACATACATGTACATACATGTCTTCTAGTACACAAATGTACACATTTATTTTGGATATATACTTAGTAGTATAATTGCTATGTCATGGGATTCGCATTAGATATCTTGAATCATTGATGTTCTTTTTAATTTCTAGTTTCCCAAAGTGGTTATACCAATGTACACTCTCACCAGCAGCATATTGGAATACTTATGGTCCACATTCATGTCAACAAAGGCAGCTTAGTGTTTCTGACTCCAATACCCAATGCTCCTTTCCTTTCACCTAAATTTTATTTAAAGGTAAGAACTTGGTAACCATTCTCTTTTATAAATTCCATGATTCTTTCTAAGATTTTCATTCTTTGTTCATTGAGTGATTTTCCTTTTTTGTAATGGAAAACATATTTGTGCTGAATAGAATTTAGCAGCGTTATCAGGGTATCAGAGACCTCATGTAAATATTTATCTTCATTAAGCCCAGCCTCTTCTATTTTCTCTGCATGGGTAAAAAGAATGGCTGTGTAATTCATCCAAGCATGTCCAAGAAGTTCCTGAAAGAGAGAAGTTAAATAACTATTGAACTTGAACTATATTTCTCAAAAATGCGCAAAGGATTTATTATGGTCCAATATAGATAGCCAGTAGATCCATATTATTATGTTTCTGAAAGCTAATATACAAAGTAGGAAATGAAAACAGAGTTAAGTATTAGAAGTAAATGAAGGGAAAGGGCTTAACTTTCTGAAAAAGACTTTAATTCTCTGTTTTTTTTTACTATAATAAATGATTACATATAAACATATACAAATAAACATATACACAACCTCAAAACTGCATATTATCAATGCTGCATAGATTTGCAACATTCAGTAACCATTGTATTTGTCTGACTACCTGACTCCATTAAAGCCACTGAATTTAAGTCAGAGGACTTGGTCAAGGGAATTCTTTTATGTTTTAATTTTTGCAAAAATATGTTATCATTATCACTAAAAGCATCTACTAAAGATATAAAATTACATAATCAGTTTACAATCTATTGATTGTAATCAGGCGACATGTATTGGAAAAGCCAAGATAAAAATATATTTGCTGATTTGGCTGAACCATGAAATATTATTACTGTGATTCTCATCTTCCTGACTTCACATGCTTAGAATGGAACACAATTTATCTGATGACTTCCTCTAATGCGGCTGAAAAACACTGAAGACTGGCGTGTCTTTGTTTATTAATATATGGAAGTTGGTCATGTAATAAATTATTGTTTGATTAGTGAAAATAAGCTGATATAAAGCAGAAATAATGGCATGTGACAAATTGTTCATGTAATATAAAAGGCATCTAGAAATAACCCTTGAACTTTTTTGGATATTTCCAAAGCTATATGAAATCAGAACAATGTGACAACAAAATAACATTCCCTCCATTCCAAACACTCCTATTACCAAAATATTTCCAAAGCTACTACCAGTTTATAGCAAGAAAAATGCAAAATGCCTAGGAATACATGTAATAAGAAACATCTAGGACTTCTAATAATCAGAAGAAAGAAAGAAGGGAGAAAAACTAACATTTAGTGTCAGATATTATGCTAAGTAGTTTAAATGTTTTACCTCTTTTGAAGCATATGTGATTCTTTGTGGGAGAAACTATTACAAGCTTCATTATGATACTGGCAAACTGACATATAAAGACTGAGTCATATGTATAAGTACAAACTCTGGTTTTAAAAAATTCTTGAAAATATTGGAAGTCTGGGAAATCATTTTCAATGTACATAACAAATTCAGGATTAGAATTTATAATATTGAAAAATTGAAAAGAAAAAAGAAGAAGGACATAAGAAAGAAAACAGAAAAGGTAGAAAGGAGAAAGGAAGGAAGGAAGGCAAGAAGGCAGGAAAACTGGAGGAAGGAATCTGGATATGTAAATCTAACATGAAAATACTCATGAGAACAGTGGGACAAACCATTTAAAATTAGAAATATCACAATCATAGTTACCAAATTACAACTGATGCAGTCTGGCTTTTATCAGAGTCATTTCTTTATACATCCATTTTTACAACTTGATAGTGAACTCTTTGAAGGCAAGGTTTATGTCTTTCCATATCAATCAAAGCTTTTTGCACATTGGAAACTCTTAGTAAACATCTGTTAAATTAATTTGGAATGTAGGCCCTCATTATCATCTCAAATAGAAAGCTTAGGGTTCTATTTATTTCTTTTGAGGGTTTGGTTTTGAAGTATAATTAATCTTCATGATACAATATTGTGCTTTCTTGTAAAGCTTCCCCCACCTTTTTTTAAAAATCTTTTCGCAGTTTATTATCATGAATTTGCCTGTAGTCTTCACTTTCTATTTTCTATTCAGAGGGACTCTTTCAAGGAATAGATACAAAATTTTTCTTCATGTCTGTTCAAAATTTGTCTACATACACCATAGAATAACTGCATATTTCTATTTCTCCTAAAAATACCCTGCTTCTAGAAAATCTGAATTAAAGTTTCAAGATCAGTATATTAGGGAATAATTATTATAATAGAGAGATTCTAAACTTTAAAAACTAATTTTTTAAAGAAGTACTTTAATTGGCATATTTGTATGTGCCTTTAAAACACAAATCTGTTTGCAATACTTCAGCCAAACTTTTAAAGAATACAACTCTTGGGTAAATCTACGTATCCATATAATGTCAACATCCCATTTTGGCTAATGGAAACATAGCAAAATCAGCAGACCTCTTTAGAGTTTGACATATATTCAGTATATTGTAACAGGTCTCTGCTTGGTGAGGAGTCACAGAATTGCAAAGTAAATGAACAATAATGTTATGGGTTGGATTGCATCCTCCCCCAAATTCATGTGTTGAAATTCTGATCCCCAGTTCTTCCAGATGTGACCTTATTTGGAAATCAGGTCGTTGCAGATACAATTTGTTAAGCTAAGGTAATTAGGGTGAGTTACCATCTAGCATAATTGGTGACCTTATAAAAAAGGGAAATTTAGACAAAGACCAAGTCCCAGGATAGTACGGTGCATACATGGAGATAGCCATCTACAAGCCAAGGAAAGAAGCCTGGAACAGATCCTTTCCTCACAGTCCTCAGAAGGATCCAACCCTGACAACACCTTGATTTTGGCCTTCTAGCCGCCAGGACTGAAAGACAGTAAATACCTGCTCTATATACCACTCAGATTGTGGTACTTTGTTACAGCAGCCCAAGCAAACTAATGCAAGTGGCTAACAAATTAACAAAGTCCTAAGTATATTTGATCTGGGCTCTGGAATACAGTGATTCCTGGATCATTTGCATCAGAATCACCTGGGGGGCTTTCGAAAAATACAGCAGAACTATTAGGGCTGAAACCTGCCTGTAATTTTAATTTTATAAAGCAACTCAGATGATTTATTCCTTCTGCAAATTTTTATTGAGGGTCTACTTTGTTCTAGGCATGTTTTAGGCAGGTGTGGAATAAGACGGACATATTTTCTATTTACATTTAGTGGAGATTTTTGTGTACTAAATTAACTTAGGAAGGGAGACAGGAAAGAAATAATTTTGAATTTGTTTCAATTGCAAGTGTGATAGAAATTATGTTTGCATTATAGAGGTGAGCACTTTGCCCATTTTTGGGTGGTGGTAGGAAGTAGGGTAAAAGGGAAAGATCAGATAAAGTGTCTTACATGTAATGATGCAGTGACCAGATTCTTAAAAAATACATAGGAATTAACATCGTAATTAATGTAATCAAGCATGATTGAGATTGTACAGCACTGAGATTTTATTTCTAAACAAGTACAGCTACTGATATTTGAACACTCTTATCTCTGTAGTTTTATCAAATTTAGAGCCAGACCTGATATTCACCAAGTATGCTATGGATATGGTCATACCGATTGCCAAATATCAAAATGTTTTTATGCAAATTATTTAATAGCTACTGCTCTTAATTTCTTGAGGGTCATCTAAATCTACCCTTAAATATGTATTGGCTGATGTGTGAATCATACTTGTTACTAAATATTTTCAAGCCCCAGTGGCTTAATGGATACAGTATTGGCCTCCTTAAATATTTTTTGAAATATAGTATTACTACAATAAAAGTACACGCTATTTGGCACAAATAGTCCTTTCTTGAGTTATATATTATAACACAGAATTATTTTCTTTCCAGGTTAGTACTTAATGAAGTAAATAGTTTAACTTTCATAGTATTCCTTTTGTTCCTGTTTTTCTGTATTGTAACATTAACATGTTCCCTTTTTGTTTCCACCAGATATTTGCCATACTTTAAACCGCAATGTCATTCAGAGAAAACGAGGTAAAGCACCTACGGATAATAGATTTATAAACTCCATGCCACTTAAAGGTCCATGTGTTCAGCCACTGGGAAGTTTTTACATGTTTAAAATCACTTGTGAAAGGATGCTCATATGTAACTGTGAGACAAATTGCACTTTTGAAAAACTGCCAAAACCAGAAGAGAGTGGCTGATTTAGCTTAAAATTTTTAGATCAGTTTTGGCCAGAAAATAGTTGAATATTTGAAAGTAGTATTGCTTGGTGAGTAGTCATCATGTTAGTGGCCAAACATGTTCTCTATGGACCCAGAGAAAGCATACTTACAGCTGATTGATACCTTGCATAAAAATCCAAAAGCAAGATAAGTTAATGTAAGTTATCTGGTGTTAATAATTGAAATATAGTACTAAGCTAGATTAAAATTTTTCAATAACTCATGAATGGTTTGGTTTCTGAGTGTTAACGGGTATGAGTCCATTTATTCCTTTTGGGACAACTAGTTAGAATATAAACTTTGTTATCCAGGAATTATGTTCATTTTCCCTGGACCTCACCAGCTCTGCCCCATTTGTTTGTGGTTGATGAAATCATAGCATCTGGACTTTTTAGGGGGAAACTAAAAAAAAAAAAAAAAGAGCAAACTACTGAGAAAAAAATTATCATGGAACAGGACAATAAAGACCCTTTTCATTTTTTATAGTTTATGCTATTCCCTTACTCTCATCCCACTTAAAAATATTACATTTTCCTTTTCAGAGAGCCAAAGCTGAATGATAATTTCTCATTAGGTCAGATCCAGTGAATATTCAACCTCAGATCATCTGTATAAACTGCATCTTTTTACAGATGAGGGTATTGAGGCCTTATGGTATTAAGTGACTTGGCCAACATTACATGGCTGATTATTGGAGGCTTGGACCTGGAACAAAGGTCCCTTGTCTTTCCCACTAAATTGGGGCTTCTCAGCTTAACCATTCTAAGCCAGTGAAAATTTTCCCAGCTTTTTTTCTAAATTAATAAAAAAGTTACTTCTTACAGTTATAAATCAGGGTCATGTAAAGTCGATTTTACTCTTATTTTCTTTGGAAGTCTACCAGGATAAACCTAAAACACACTATTTACTAATTTTAGGATAAGACAAATACTAACAACAAAATAATAATGGCCAGAGCTATATGGTGTGTGCTTGCCACGTGCCTGTGCCTAAGCTATATTTTTTACTAATAGGGCACTAATCCCACAAGTAACCCAATGAAGTAGACACTACTGTCTTTCTCAATTTACCAATGAAGTTTAGAGAAGTTACTTGCCTGAGATCTACGATATCTTGCCCATAGCTAACAGTTCATTTGAATGAGTACTCATTCACAGTCTTGGTAATGATCATAATAATAAAAATAACAACAATACTAGTAATACGTCACCATTGTCTCTGACCTACTGTAAGTAGGGACAATGCTGAGCATGTTGCATCTATTATATGTAATGCTCAGAACTCTTTAACACATGTAAAATTATCCCCATAATACAAGGAAGGAATTGATACCAAGAAAGTTTTAGTAACATGTATATTCATATACCTATAAAGTAATTAGGCTTGTTTTTTAACTAAATTCTAACAACTAAGCCTATAATCTTTATTTAGTATTTTCAGGCTCTGAATTGGCTTTTCTGAGCTTTTCGTAAACATATTTGTCTGCAACGTCAACAGTTCAGTTGTCGATTATGAAATAAAAGTACATACTTGAAACTTGCTTGTACACAGTGAGAGTACATAATACAAAATCGTGGGGGGAAATGGACTTTAGGCAATACCTAGGCCTAATTCGTAGCGCAGCTTGGCTGTATGCTGGCTGTTTCCTTGAGGCGACTATATTATATCTCAAGGATTCATTGTCTGTGGGTTTGTAAACATTCAAATGAGATTCCAGATAACATTCAAATAAATTATTCCTTTTATTTCTTGATTTTGAGGACAGGACTCACTGGTATTTCCACATTTTACTATAAATTAATAAAAGCCTAACAAAAATAAAGAAAAAGGGATCATTTGGGGAAAATGTTTCCATAGTCACAGCCAGCAGCATATAACCCCTCTGCAAAATATTAGAGTACAAACTGGGAAAGATATTTAAAGAGACAACAGGGAAGCCCAGGAAAGAAGAAGCTACTTCTCTGATACTGGCTTGGTAGATTCTTTCCACAGCACTCGTCAGTGCCCCTGAAAAGGGGTAAAAAAAAGAAGGCAGACACTCAATTCTCCATGTTGCATCAGCCAGGAAGAAAAAGAAATCCAGGTTGTGCCTGAAACCTGAGGACCTAACAGCTTCTTGCTCCTTCCTAACAGCTGCTAGTCCTGTTGAATATTCAGACACTCTGCAGCTGCTCCCAATCTGTGAGCACATACAGATGGCTGCCACCAGTACCTGAGGCAGCTTCAGAAAGATCGTAAATAGTCAGCCTGTGCTTAAGTGACCATCAACCAAAGACTGCAGCAGAACCTCAGAATAGTTCTGCAGTACTCCCAGGGGTCATAGGCCACTCAAGATTATTAAACCTTGGCTGCTGATTTTCTTGGGAGACAGAAGTTATTTATTCCGGAAAGAAATATTCAGGATCTGAGCTTTGTCCTAGTTCATCTCCTCTATGCCTCCAATTCCTAACTTGCACACTGACTTGGAAGGCAGCTGTAAGAGAAGACTATATGCCAAATATTGTTTTAAAAGACCAAAGACATGTATGAATTTAGCTCACATGTATAAAGCCTCACAGATGACCCTGTATACTAAAACTAGTAAAATCTGTTTTCAAAATGTATGTCATTTAAAATAAACTTTTGGGCTCAGCATAGGTTCATGATAGGAAAAAATATTGAGACATATAGAGAGAGTCAGGGTAGCTTTTGAGAAATTGTTGTTTATGTGTTTACTGAATTTACTGAATTACATCCATCTATAGCCTCAGCTAAATGTTTACTTAATAATAGCTTTAAATGATTTTTTTTAAACTGTACAAAGATTATACTGATGTCATGGATGCCGGCTTCTCAGAACTTGATTTCTACCAGAAACACTGTTTGAAATACAGGCTTTCATAATTTGGAGGAGGTTTGTGGGCTTTCTTAGATCCCATATTGTTTCTTAATTGCAATCATCTTCTATTCTTCATTACTTTTGTATAGCACACCCTTGGATTTTCAGGAGTTGCATGATGAAGATGTTTTTTATCCTCTTGTCACCCTGATTTTTCCGCTAGTTTCTTGTGATTATACATATGGCTTTTTTTTCATTTTTAGAAACATGCACAGTTACTGAAAAACAATGTGTATATCTGTCATTTAGAAGTATCTTTTCTAGTTAAAGGGAGAAAAAAAACCTTCATGAAAACAAAGTAACTATCTTTCTGGGCTGTAACGGCCTATGTCAATATGAGCTGAGACTGAACCAAAAGAAGAGTAGCATTTATTCAAGTTCTTCCAGAATAGAAAAGATCTGTTCACCATTATGCATAAAGTTTAACTGTGGAGCTTCTAGTAGACCTGGCGTCTCTGAACTCAGTGACTCATTCAGGCTCCTGAGTAATACTAGTGAAATCCAGCAGTTAAATTTAGGGTGACTCAGACTAAAGAATCAGGAGATTGAATAGAATAGAGCAGCTCAATGAAGAGTTTCCAGGAATTGTTAGTAATATTCTACACAGGGTTTGCTCAAACATATCACATACACATACACACACACACACACACACACACACACACACGTACACACACACACACACATACAAACTCCCACTTCCCTCCATCTCCTAGCTGTGGTCATGTCCAGGCCTCGTATCCAGCTCCTCTCCTGGAGACTGGCTGAATAAGCCTCCAACTTAGTGACTGATAATGAATGAACAAACGAATAGGAGTAGACCACTAGGGAAAGGTGGCATGTGTTATTTATGCTCAACCTAAGCTCCCTGTGGTTTTCTTATGGCTAGAATGGAGCAGTCACTTATGTTATAGCTGATGAGACAAGGCAAGAATCTGAAGTTCTGAATTGTTTTCCTATAAACAATGCATAACTCTCCCTTGAATGCTCACTATGACTTAAGTCTGATGAAGCCCTCTCTCATACATTATACTATTTTGGCACTTAATGCATTGTCTTATTCTGGTTTATCTAATTTTCCTCTTCTAGACTGTAAACTTTTTAAAGGAAGGGCTCATGTCTCATTTACCAGTCATTAAGCACTGTGCAGATGCTCAAGGGAGTATTCAATGACCAGGTCTATGAATGAGCACCATTTCTTGGTGAACTGTATAAGAAATTGTCCCTTTAATGCTGAATGGATGCAAGTCCATGTTGAAATTCAGTGGTTCTAAGACCTGACTGTTTTTGAGAAATACATGAAAAGTCATTAAAATACAGATATGCAGACTCCACTCTTGAGATTCTGTTTCAGAAGGTTTTGGATCAATCTTCTTTAGCAAACAGCCCAGTTGATTCTGATGCAGACAGTTCAGGGACCACACTTTACAAACTTATTTGGGTTTTTGGTTCTTGGGGTTCAGGCTTGGTTAACCTCTGAAGTTTTAATATCTCATTTTGTTTGTCTACAAACCAGTTGTAAAATAACTTGATTGGGTTCCTCTAAAGGAAGTCATAAAAAGGACTTGGGAAAATCAAATAATTTTTACTGACTATTCTTAGGTGACCAGCACTTGGTTGTTTTAATTATTATTTTTACCAGTTCATGGTTCTTTACTATGAGGATAATGTCCTCCAAGAGGTAATAATGGCATTAGTGCAATTGCATCTTTGTATTACCTGGATCATCTGGACTGGGTAAGTTACTTCCTTCCCACAGAAAGGCACATCTGCTCTCTGAACCAGGAGTGCGAGGTTGAGACCCTCTTGCCCGAAGTGATGTGCCAGAGCCTCTTTGACTTCCCGTTTCACATGCTCGTTGCTCAGCCTGCTGTGTGGATAACCTGGAGTGTCCAACACCTGGACTTGCAGGGCCACCTCTCGCCCTGCTCGACGCATGAAGCTGTGGAGGTGACAACTGCGGCCCAGGGTACAACATATGGTCACAGAACATGGAGCAAAGATGCTGTGAAAGTCTGTGCTTCCCAGCAGAATGTTTCCAGCAGAACTTTTTCCACTCTGAGTCATGCCAAAGAGGGCCAAGTTGATGATCATCTTATTGGGGTCTGTCATGGCTGTGGGAAAACAGAGGCATAGCATACATAATCAGGCTTCTACATTCTCCCAACGTAAGGTTTCTTACCTGGCCTGGAGCACTACAAGTACGATTTTAGATTTGTTTTCCTTTCATTCGTAGTGACTAAAGCATGGAGGAGGAGTGCTCCACTAAAATGGAGATGCCACAGTGACAGAAGGGAATGTGGAAATAATATCATTAGTTTACAATGAGAAAGGAGAGAGAAGTTAAATACAGATAAGAAAGGGTTTAAGAAACAGTAATTGCAGAAAATGAGGAAAAACATCCCAAATTACATGAAGATCATATAAACCATGTTTAGGAGGAATATGTTAACTCATCAATGTGGCAGGTGAGTTGGTTTAGGAAAAGGTGTTGAAGTTCTTGAGCTCAGGGACAAAGCTAGAAGTAGTATTTAAAAGTTATTCACTATTGGAAAAGTAAGAATAAGACAGTGTAAGAAACAGCCCTTCTTGCATTTTTAATAACATCCCCCATCTTCCCACTTCCTGACCCACCGCCTGAATACACAAGTGGCATCTGCAAAAAAATCATCTTTTCTGATTTTCTGAATGCTTCTTCCTATGAAATACAAATAATGTTAAATAAGACTTCTGTTTCTGTTTACCTTTTTTTTTTTTTTTACAACCTGGGAACAACTGGTGAAAATAAAAACTACTTGCAATTTCTGCTATAAAATAATTAATAAATTATCTCTATGGCTATTAGTGTAATGTGCTGGCTCTTTAATAAAGAAAGAAAAGCCTAACACATTGGGCAGCTCAGTTAGAAGGGAGGAGAATCTTGGGAGAGTCTATTCCATGTACAATACTTGTACAGTGGCCGATCTTTTGTGCGCAGCATATGCCCCCTATAGCATTTTAAAGTCATCAATTATTTTCACCACATTTATAAGCAGAGTTACTGGTCAATTGCTAAAACTGCCCAAGCTGTGGATTCAGAAATAAAGATATTTTAATATTTCATATTTATTATTTTTGCTTATGTCTCGTACACAGTTTTAAGTACTGCAGGTCCTTCTTGTCTTTTAATGCCCCTCACTCCATTATATCCACACCCTAATGAGAAGACCTTGAGGGAGCTTCATATTTCCACAAAAAGACACTCAGTTGGGGGGTCCCTCCAGTTCACACTAGCTCTCCCAGCTCATTCAGTGGTATCAACTGCACTGAGATGCAATTTCTTTTTATGCTTGAATCAGGGGTGTAATAATTTTAGAAAATTAATTATGCAATCCCAATCCATTTGCTATATTTCACGTACCTTTTCAAGTCTTGAAAATGCTTTCTTAACAAAGACGTCTCTCACCCTGGCACGGTTGTTCTTTCATATGAACTTTCACCATCTGATAGTATTATTGTACCACACGGGGACTGACACCGTATGTATTTTATTTAGTTAATCTATTACCAGACATCCTCTTTATAAGTGATGAATTGTCTTCACCTAATAGGCACTGATTTTTATGTCACCTGACATGTTTGTAATTTTAATAGGTACTGAAACATTCTATTTTCAGAATTAAATTTTTTTATTTAGTGCATTTTTATAGGTAGCAACTTATTTATAGCATAAAGAAATGCAAGATGAGTATTAAACATAAATTAGATGTTCTATAGCAATGATTACAATTTTTTCATGATCTACAATTAGATCATGATTTCACTTCAGTATTTAGACCATAATACTGTTTAAATTTTTAAGATAACTCTTTTTGCTACTTTCATATAATTAAAGTGTATTATTTTATCCTAATTTATGAAATCAGTGGGATGATTATATCAGCACATGTAGCCTTCATATTAATTAAGTATATTTAGGAAAGGAGTAAAATTAACTATAACTTGAAGTCAAATACAGTTTTTCTTAAAAACTTGGGTTTTATTTTCTTATTGAAAACTCAAATTTTATGTTTTCTACTTCTTAGTTTATTTCCATACTAATCCAAAATACTTTCTTGGTGCTTTAAGATATAGAAACTGTAGCATGGTTATATTCTGATTCATCTTCTCTTGCATTTTTAAAAAAGTCTATGAAATTTGTATTTCTGGGTGAAGGAAACTTGGAGACATCTGGAACACCTTATGACTTCATGGGCAGAGAGTTAAAAAGACTTCTTCCTGTGTGGCTCTGACAAGGAAAACATGAACTGGCATCCTTCATCTAATAAGCGCATTGGGTTTCTTGAATGAAGTGGAGAGAATCTCCCCCAGGTGGCAGTAGCAGCCTGTTTCCTAAGAAGTGATTTTGAAGTCACATTTAATTTTCCGCCTTAAACTGTAAACGGACATTCTTCAACTATCTACCTGAAAACATATTAATTGTGTGGGGGATTTTTTTTGAAGAAGAACAAAGCCAAACTTTCTTTCCTATGTTTTGTATAAAACACAGCAGGCATAAGCTCTTAGCTTTTCAACAACCCCCAATTCAAAGTTATAGTTTAAATCATTTGGTGAATGTAACAGCTGACTGTTAAAAAAAAAGTTCAGAATTCATGAGCATGATCATAAGTGCTTACATGATTACACCAATTCCCCGATAAGACTGAACTTTTTTTTGATAAATTTTCATAAGTCGAATGCAGGTTTTATTTAGAGGTCTTATAGTAGAATAATGTATTATTAGATGATGTTGAAAGATTATTAATTATTTTTCGAATCAAGGTGAAAGAACAATTTGAAAAATTACAATTTTATCAACTTGGCTATACATAATGTAGTAAGGATTTTAAAAAGCATTTTCTTTTAACAGCTGGCTGCAGAATTTCTCTTAGGAAGGATACTGTCAGAGAAAATTGTTTAATTTAGCTACTTGAGGTAGAAAACAGGATCCTGAGAACATGAGCTAAACTCACAGAAAGTACTGTAATAGCCAATCTGCTGGTGAAGGGGAAAAGCCAAGAAAACAGTAGAGATCAGGATATAAAAGGAGAGACGGAGTGAGGGACATAAAATGAGGAAGGGACAGACAGATGCAGGGAGGGAAGAAAGGAATGAGGAAGGAGAGAATAAAGAACTATGACATTATAGTGGGGCAGAAAGCTAGATCTCTCAGTTTTGTAAATGTACAGGGCTAAGGAACTATTTTAAAATCAGCCACATTTACAGTTTTCTTACATAAAGGTGGCTTTTAATTTTTATTTTTGGTTTTGCTTTTTATTTGGATGAAAATTAATGGAAAAGTTTAAGTTATATTCCTGTGTTAGCACAGGACAGGGGACCACAAAAGTTAGAGATTGTGGGATGACATCTGAATTAAAGTAACTTAGAAGAGACAGGAAGTTATAGCTAGGACACCAATTCCCCAGGAACTTGCAGGAGCCATTAGGAGGACATTTAGACTTTCCACAATCAATGAAATGAGATATTTTGGGGTAAGGGTGACTCTAGCTGAGAAGCAACTATTGTATTTTAAATTTTATATATCTACACACACATACATTCAAACATGGACATACATTAATATTCACATGTATATATTTATGCATGTTTGTATATACAAGTGTATATATGTGTATATAATTTATGCTGTATATGTCTTTATACTCAGGAAAATTGTGTCTCAAATGAATTTTATTGCAAGTAGCTCTAGATACAGCAATTTGATTAAAATTTGCTTTTAGTTTTAGACGAATTCCCATTTTCATTGGTTTGAATGGTTAATCCCGTGCTCTGATATTTCTTTTCTTAATAAAGAATACATTAAGAGTATTGACCAGATTTTGTGTTTATGATAATCAAATGGCTTTACCCCTGGATAACACTGCACCAAACTGAGAGGAACACCGATAAGCCACTGTGGCTGGTGCTGACTTGATTCACTCAGTCTGAGCTAGTTTTAGAATAAGGCATTAGATCTCACCATTGGGTATTTTATGACACTGATCAGCAGTTTAAATTTGGTGGACAGATGGTCTTAATTTGAATGCATTTTGAAGGTTCTTGAAGCAATGAAGAATGGTCGTGTCTGGACAGAAATATTTACGGGAATATAAATCTTCAGCCCAAGCTTGGTTAGTTGGTCTTTGTGAGACTCTACCAGTCACATCCCCATGCAGGAATGTTTATGATGTTTTTGTCTGGTTTTGCTGTGCTTGTTTGCTTGCTTGTTTTTCTTCTGAGTATTTCTGCATATAATTTTTCAGATTATAAATGTATACATTTTAAAAGTCATTTAAAGGAACATAGAAGAATATAAAATTACTTTTAAATCTTAATTTCCTGGAGACCATGAAACAGTGTCTCTTTTTAGGGACTGACACAACAGGTACATTACTTTTTTGCAACCTGCCCATATACTCCTCTTATTTACTCCTCTTCTTTTTTTTCTTTTTTGAGACGGAGTGTCTCTTTTGTTACCCAGGCTGGAGTGCAATGGTGCGATCTCGGCTCACCACAACACCCACCTTCTAGGTTCAAACAATTCTCCTCCCTAAGCCTCCTGAGTAGCTGGGATTACAGGCGCGCACTACCATGCATAGCTAATTTTTGTATTTTTACTAGAGACAGGGTTTCACCATGTTGACTGGGATGGTCTCGATCTCTTGACCTTGTGATCCACTGCCTCAACCTCCCAAAGTGCTGGGATTATAGGGGTGAGCCACCACGCCCGGCCTTTTACTCCTCTTCTTTAACAATCACTGCTGAGAGGGATCACACAATTTCTATGAGATGCATTAATAACAGGAGTATGTTTAGCTTGTGAACTGTGTGGAGGCAAAAGCAATTGTTGGCAGTTACTTAATCAGGATATAATCTTTTGAGAGAGTACTGTATTTAATTTTCTAAGATGTTTTATAATTTTAGTAATGTTATTAATAGCGAGATTGAGTGATAGCTTTTTATTTTTATCTCATATTTGTCAGATTTTCAGATCAGAAATACGCCAACCTTTTAAAATGAATTAGAAAAAGTTTCTTCCTTTATGGTGCTCTGTAATCATTTAGATCCTTTGGCATTACACATCCCTGGAAAGTTT